TTCTTCTATTTGTGTGTGTGTGTGTGTGTGTGTGTGTGTGTGAGAGTGTGTGTGCATGTTTCCTGATAGAATTTGCTTTGGATTAATGTTATGTACTTTTCTTGCTTATCTCTTCAAGTTTTCAGCCCTCTTTATGTTGTTTTCTTATTTATTTGTCTGCTAATAACTGAATATATACATTTTTGAGAATTTAGTTACTCCTGCCTTTCCACCACATTGATTCTTGCATACCTGAAATTATTTTGGGGGAGATCCATAGCCACCAGTTTTCCAAGGAAAGCTGCACCAAAAATACCTCTATGTGGGAGCATTCTTTATTCTGCATTTTCTGCATTTATGGGTATTGTGTCTATATTGTCTTTATCCATTGTGCCTAAGTTTGTGTTATACAAAGCCACAAAGATCTTTTAAATCTATTTATTTCTTGTGCTTGGAATTAGTTTTTTTTAATACATTAAAAAGATACAAGTGAATAGAAGTCCTACTCTCTGTGATCGTCAGTCTTTCTCAAGACCAGTGGCATTTATCTATATGTAGTTTACTTTAACCACCAATCTTCATCTAGTGGCATCAGTCAATTTAATTAGCACATTCTCTACTTTGTCTTCCAGATTTTTTATAAAGATATTAAACAAAATGGGACCCAATATCGATCCTTGTGGGACCCAACTGGAAGCTTCTCCCCAACTAGACGGACTACCAATTACGATTTCTCTCTATATACGGTTAGCTAGCCAGTTTTTAATCCATTTATTTGTATTTCTGTTGGGGACAATTCGTTGAGCTGTTCCCTTTAAAACATTGTATGCGTTCTTTGCAGATAACCAATGGACTTGTACCCACAGAGATGTGGGAATACGTTAAATGTTTTTGTGAGACCCTAATGGGGGTTTCCCAGGTTTGCTTTTGTAAAATGCAGCGACGATGAATCTAAGCTTCAGTGTTCCACTCAGTCGAGATTGTTTGTGCTAGAGAAAGAAACCAAGTGGATCATCTCTTGAGATTCCTGTTCATTTGTACTGAGAAGGTAGAGTGTCATCCCGTATCAGTCATTCCTTAGTGCCCTTGTGTGTCTTTGGGCTAGTGGAATAGGTGAAGAAGAACTGTGCATTTCTCCTGTTGGTTGGCTCAGAACTGAGGAACTTGTTTTTGTCCTAGATTATGAATTTGTGCCGAGGAATGTTATGTTTGCATCAAGTCCTTGTTGCTTCATTGTTACTTATTTTACAAATAGGTATTACCTTGGCATACCCAGCACAATCTTGTTGATAGAAAGGAGGCAGTGACTGACATTGTTCTGCATCAAAACTCTTGAATGAAATTTTCCAAAAAAAAGCCAGTAGTAAGGCTACTACTTAGAGTTTAGTTTCTAAGTTTCCATGCTTGCAATTGTTAATTGGCAAATTGTCATTCATATTGACCTCCATATTGGAGGAGGAGGAAGAGGGGGAGTAGGAGGAGGAGAAGGAAGAAGAGGATTGTGATGATGATGATGATGATGATGATGATTGTCACCATTTTACCTTATCACACACTACCTGTCTGACTCCAGGTTTTTTTTAATTTCTATTTCTTGGTGAGGTAGTGAATGATATTAAATGCTTGTGAATCTTTCTTATGAGGACTTGGTGCCAGATGAGCTGTCATTTTTGTATCTTCTGAGTATCATGTTCTTCCTTAATTTTATTGCCCTGACCTCAAATTCCTCAGTACCCATTATTATTGCTCTTGGGGTGGGGAACAAGGATGGTTAACCTATTAAATAACGACTTTAAGTTGTTTTATAACTTGGTTACTTGTTGCCTTACATATAGTAACAGAGTGTGATAAACTAGATTCCAGGAGATGTTTTAACTCTGTTTATCACTATTTTAGTCCTAATCCCCTAAAGATCCAGTCCCTACTATGTCTGTTCTCTCAGGCTCTCTCGTTTGTGTTGTTCTTGTTTTGAATTCTAGCTACTGTATTTGAAATTGAAGTAGACTGACTTGATTGGGCTGTATTCTGGGTAGAATGTTAATGATTTAGAAAATGTTCTACAGCTGGAGTTTAGGTTTATGATGAAAACAGTTGTATTTTTTCAAAATCAAAATCAAAGTATACTACATGATTGGTCTAATGACTGAGTAAAGTTACATGAGGATATTTTAAAGAAAGTGTGTCTCTTTGGTGCATTAAATTGTTCAGTTGATAGCTTGAAAAAGTTAATGATACCCTGTGACATGTTAAAGAGAATGCTCAATTATTTACATTGAAATATGAATCTTAATGTCTTCTGCTTTTTAAAATATTTATTGTTGAAAGTATTAAATATGTCTCCTTTTTTCCCATTGGCCCCTTCTAGCCTGCCCCTCCCCATACCCGAGGCTTGCATGGCCTTTCATGAGCCATGTGCCATTAGATGTGTTTAACCTTTCCATCCCTCAAGTTCCTCAACTGAAAAATGAAACACTAATTTCTGCCCCATTGAGCTACTGTGAGCATTAAATTAGATAATTAAGGGCCTTATATGGTGCCAGGCAAAGAGCACTCGATAGTTGCTATATTCTGGAGGTGATAGCAGGGAGTCTATGTTTCTCAAGGAGTTCCTTTGTTGCTCTATTACTATTACTATTTTTCTGACTATAAAACTAACTCAGGATCATTATTTTTTATAACAAGTGCAAAAGGCAATGTAAACAACCTAAACCCCCACACCTAGATATAATCATTGTCAACATTGCCTTTTATTCACAATTAGTGATGTGTTTATATACATAATTTTGTTCTACTATTGTGTATACTGCCATTTTCCACTTAACCTCTTTGTATACTTAAAGTATACATCATTTCTAATAGCTACAAGACATTTTATTGAACTTATGTACCATAATTTATGGAATGAGTACCTGTTGTTAGATATTTGCATTGTTTCTAAGTGTTTTTCTATTATAAATACGTCTAAAATAAGCATCCCTTTACTGATTTGTTTGTACATGACTGACTCCTAATCTATTTCTTAACATGGAATTTCTGGGTCAAAAAGTGTCTTTAAAACAGTGATCCACATTGCCAAATTGTTCCCCAAAAAATTTCTGCTACAGTGTACATACCTATTAGCACCATATGAGAGCATGGCAGTACACACACACACACACACACACACACACACACACACACACACCACCCAGCCCTTAAAATGACAAATAGAAAACTGATGTCTGTGTCCAGTTGTCAAAAGTCTTAGAGAAGTGGAGATAATGTATCTAAAAAGCCATGTGCACTTTTTCTCCTCCCTGTCCAAAGCCATAGAGTAAAACAGCAATAGAACAGAACAACACTCAACTCAAACTGAGGCTCTGCGGAGAGGCAGAGATGCATAAGCAGAGCCAACGTTGCTGCAAGCAGAGTCCAAAGAAATCTACTCAAGCTGTAGTTGAGTAAATGGGGAGACCTGATAAGAAGGTCCACATCAAAATGAAGCATCTAAACAAGGAAACAACATGGCAGCCCTTCAGGGAAACTGCCAATGAGTCCATTTTCTTTTTCTCTCTCTCCCTTTCTCTCTCTCTCTCTTACCCTTCCTTCCTCCTTCTCCTCACCCTCCCACGCACCCCAACACACATACATGAGCAACAGAGTGAAACTCAGCATGCAAAAGACAGATAATGACTCTTTTATGGGGGGGGGAAATTACTTTTTGATAAATTAAATTTTTTCATAATAAATGTGTTTTTTTTTTATTTTTACCAAAAATTGAAAGAGAATATAAAACAAAAGGTCAAGGATGAGATGATAAACAAAAGGTAATTAAGGAGGCAAAATGAAAGCAAAACAGTCTTCTTAGAAACTAATAACTAAATCTAAAATAGTAAGAAAGAGAATCAGTATGGCAAACATCAAGGCATTAACACAAAGTTCAGGCTATAGAAAATAATGCCAAATGCAGAGGAAAAGAGATGTAGAGATATAAACCTCTTAGAGTAAACACAGTAAATAGATAGGACAGGACAGTGGTTTAAACATGCCGAACCATGATGTCAATGAAGTGTAGGTGGAAAAATGGAATAGAAAAAATACAGCCATGTGCCCCTTAACAATGGGGTATGTTCTGAGAAATGCATCATTATGTGATTTCGTCACTCCACGAAGCTCGTGCACTTACACAAGCCTAGTTGGCACAGCCTACTCCACACCAGGCTATAGAGCAGAGCCTATTGCTCCTAGGCTACAAGCTGTACAGCATGTTACTGTACAAAAAAACAGCACAAGATTAAATCAAGCACAAGAGATAATGATGCAATCAAGAGACACAGTAAACAGGAGGAGATGTGTGAGGCTGCTGCTTGCATAACACAGCCTACTATTTTGCAGCAAGCTGCTTTTTTAATAAGTAGAAAAAGTGCACTCTAAAATAGTAACAAAAAATATACTATAGTGAATACACAAACCAGTAACATAGTCGTTTATTATTATTGCATAAGCATTAGGCACCATGATGATTGTATGTGCTATACTTTTATATGATTGGCAGTGCAGTAGGTTTGTTTACACCACCATTACCACAAACATGAGTAATGTGTTGCCCTAAGACATGGAAATGGCTGTAACTTTATTATAATCCATGGAAGGAATTTCCAACCTTTTTTATCTCATGGTGTACACAAACTTAAATAGTAAAATTCTGCACCATACCAAAAAATATATATTTTGTCCAACTGACAAAAAAAAGTATAATTTTGATTCATTCACACTGGACAACTATTGTCATGTTGGCTGTTGTCATTTTTTATTTGACATTCTAAAGAAAAAGAGGTCACTGCCCTTACCCAGCCCATGTGGGTCAGTGGTTGAGAGTCAACCTATGAACCAGGAAGTCACGGTTGGATTCCTGGTCAGTGCACATGCTTAGGTCGTGGGTTCAGGAGGCGGCCAATCGATGATTTTCCCTCATCATCAATGTTTCTATTTCTTCTCTCTATCCCTTCCTCTCTCTGAAATCAGTAAAAACACATTTAATTAAAAAAAATAGGTCAATGCCCTTGTGTTGCATATTTTAAAAATTCTTGTGGCACACTGGTTGAAAACCGCTGATCTATGGAATTATAAAATGTGGGCCACTGTTGACTGAAAAATCATTTTGTGGCACATGACTGTATTTATATCTGACATCAATAACTAATTATAATAATCATACTAATATGTAATTCTTGAATGCCTTCTCTGTGCTTAGACATTTTATAAATATTATGTCATAAGTCCCTAGTATTGCCATATTTTATTATAATTTCACAAATGATTAACTGACACCCAGAGAGTGTAATTAACTTAGGGTTAGACAGCTAAGAAATGGTTGAACAGAAAATATGACTAGAGGCTACACTCTTAATTGCTATGCTATATATTATATATTTATACATTTCTGCAATGAAATTAATGAGTAGGCCAAAAGGATATACTGTATTCCAAGATTAAAAATTAGACAATCTCACTCCCTCCTTGTTATATTCTTCTGAAATTGCTAACCTTCCATTCAGAAAAAGTGAATGAGCTACAAGGAAGAAAAAAAAAGTCTCAAACCTTTTTAGGTCTCAACTACCCCATAGCAATATTAAATTTGGTAAGACAACGGAAAATGTGGCAGGATTCTGGACGGAAGAAAATATAACCTAAGAATATTATTATTGACATATAAAGACAAAAGAAAGACAATCTTATCCTCAACATTCAAGTCCAAGTCCTTAGG